CATGACCCCTAGAAAAATGTGTGTTCTTCCCTGCTCTGCAGCCATAAAACATTAAGACGATAAAAGGTGAAGAAATACAGCACAATATTATGCTTCTCAATAGGGCAGACCAGTAGATGAAGTGCCTAAGTCCTACAGTGAAGTTCTGTGAGTCTGTATACTACACAAAGTGAAAACTAGATGAAGTGCAGGTCAAAAGACCCTATTCACTGTTTAAACAAAATGACAATATCCGATGTTAACTTGAAATACTGACTACTGAAAAATCAACCTCAAACTTTTTCTGGCATCAAATACTGTTCCACTTCCGGTTTTCTTCATCTGCAGTGTTCATATATATGTGTATCTAATATACTCAGTTTACTTACTGCTTCACTTCCTATATATGATTAGGTATGATTCTGCTCTGCTGCTTTTAACCACTCATTTAAGACAGCACTTCTCACACCACACATTCAGTCAGACCTAAAACCAGATTTATATTCAGGTATATTTTGTAAGTGGCTAAATCAATATGCTGACCAATATGCTTACTTTCGAAAAGTAAGGTGTTTCCCTTCTGTGAAGAACAGGAATTAATACAGAAATTATCTAAAAAAGTTGACCTGCCAAACATTAACTGTTAAAGAGAAAAGAAACCTCATACACTAAAATCAAGTTACATCACACTGCATTTTTTGTTTATACACTACCTAACTGAATATGCCAATATTACCTCCCCTCAGCTTTCAGTGCAACAGATTCATTCACTGGTATGGAAAAGGGCCTTTGGTCATTATTCAGGAAAAAAAAACCACCTCCTTTTCATGAGTTACTGGAATAAACTAACACTGCAAAACTCTGGACTTATGTGAAGAAACTAGAACTTCACACTACATTCAGGTTGATCTAGTTTAATGCAATCCATCCTGATTTAATGTTTCTCTATCCATCTCTATCTCCAGCTCTTTTTCTCAACATTGTGTTGCCTCAACAGGCACCAAGGGCTGTAAGAACACATCTCCTTTGGGTAGAACAGTTTTGTCTACCTTTCTGGTAGACAGTTTAACCAGACAGACTATTTCATTTTGTATGGTTGATAGCTTTCAATTTCCACTGATACCCATTTCAAACTGATAACCACTGTTCAAAAAGCACTATATGAACATGTTAGTATTGCTGGAATATACTGGATCTGCTTCTGCCACACGAATGCACACTAAGATCTAAAATAAATTTGTTAGCTAAGATTTTTCATCAAACACATAAATAACAATAATTCCGCATACCACTGGTTTACCACCAAATTAAACAGCATTCATTATTAAATCAAAAGGCATTCACACTATTTCAGCCACTGTCAGTGAGTTCTGCAAAAGGGGTAGAAAGCACAGGGGAAAAAAATCGACCAAAACAAACACAGAGCTGCCCACTTACCCCTTACATTCCCTGCCTCCCACCTAGCATTAAGCTAGAGCATCAACACACTGCTGCTGTGCTCCAGAAAAATGAAATCTCACACATGCACTGAACAGACAAGCCTTCAGTCAGTTTCACTCCGGATCAAAGAAGATAAATGTCAACCCTGCTTGGGGATTTTGCGTTTGTGAACAAAGAGAACCTGCTGCATACCATCTCCTCCCACTGCCAGAAAATTAAAGAAAACACATTAAGGGAAGGCACACTCCCCTTTTCCTTAGGTACATGGAAAAGAGAAGAGGAAATTCATAGTATTAGGTGCTTGTTAGCAAAGACGAACACATCCTGACTACCCTGAACAAACTATATTTACAGCATCCTGATGGGAAGTGCAGAACTTGCATCTGCTTCACTTCCCATCTCTTCAGGTTAGTTACTGTGAAAGCCAGAATGCTGACTATACAGTATTTAAAAACTTATTCATGTTTAGAAAAAACGTTTGTAACACCTTCATGGCCTAACACTTGCAGACTGGGAACTCACGTTTTGTTTGGTTTGTGTTTGTTGCTTTTTAAAATTCACAAAACAAGTTAAGAGATGAAAAACTGATAAAATTTGTGTCTAAGTTTGTGCCAAAAATTTCACTGTATTTTATACTTATCTAAGATTGGAGTATGAACACCAGCAGCATCTACAGGTATTCTTGTTTGGAGTGAGTAACCAAACACTCAGTAAGTCCTGGAATGCATGTCCATGGGAAGGCAAAGAAGCCTAGTGAGTCGCCAGTGTTATGAAAGAAATAATGCCTTTTCATTCTTCAACACAGTAGTAATTTTTTATCACAAAGCAAGGCCAGGAGTTGAAAAGCACTCTCACTTTTCTGATGTACACATTATATTGTCAGGAATTAAGACAAAGAAACAAAACCATTTGACAGATTCGTGGAACTATCCATCAAGCCAACCCTGCATGCTTCCTATAAAAACTGAATGAATTAGGAGGAAGTGGGAAAGGGTGGAGCTGGCAGTCTTATTCAAACAAATGGAACAGCAGTTTTGTAATCACATTCAACTGGAGAAATTGAATCCAAGTTTAAATCACAATATGAACTCCTGCTTTTAAAGACTTACACTGGGCTTTTCCTTATGTAAGATGATAGATAATACTGATCTTTGTTTCTAGTAACAAATCAAGAGTTCAACTCAGTAGAAGCAGATGGGATGACTATAAAGAAAGGGCACTTCCAAAATAAAACAGCAGGACTGAAAGAATACAATTTACTACCAACATATGGCCAATTTAAATGACTTCACTGAGAACGGTAAAACCTGATGCTGTACAAATTAATTAAGGGATGAATGAAAGGGAAAAAGGCTTCTAATCATTTTAGTCAGCCAACTTCAATTTTGTTATAGAAACATCACATAAAAATTACATAGAAAATTACAAAGAAAAATGTTAAGTATACAGAGTTACAAACTTCTATTTTTTTTTTTATTAATTGTATTTTATTTCTTGGATGTTTCCGTATGAAAGAATCCTTAAGAGAAAACCATTTAACTGTAGAGCTATGCCTTTGGTCCTGAAAAAATTACAATGCCCCCTTTGTCTGAATAAGGTAAGTAGCCTTGTAAACCAAATTAAATCAGGGCCTCTGCAGTCTTCCCCCAGCATGCACTTCCTCTCAGAAATCCAACATCCTCTTTTATGAAAGTTCACTATCATGCTTGCACATGACTTAGAAGACAATATTCTGACTGCAAAATCCACTCAGAACTGTAGATGTGGTAACAATCACTTTAATATCAAGCAGGTGACTGTTCACAAATAATTACCCCACTTCCTAAAGCATTTCAAAAAGTTTGCTTTTTGGCTTTTGCCTCAGTTCTCTGAGGAACTCAGCTGGGTTTAACAGAAGAAGCAGTGTGACCTTTCAGAGAGAAAACCAGACAAGCAGAATTCTGTATCTCACCACCCTGGCACACCATAATGAAGAAGTAACTTTGCTTTTATGTGCCCCTATTTCCCTCTCTATCCTTTGTCAAACCTGCCTAATCCTATTTCCAGCTCATTAGGAGATTCTACAAGTTTAAGACTATTCAAACACTTGTCTTCACAAAACAAGGCTTTAGTGTTTACAAACTTCCACAAGAAGTCCAGAAATTAAAAGAATAAAGGATTACTAGGAAGGCTGTCAAAGTTCAGGAGATTAAGCTAAATGAAATACTGTAATGTTACGTGTTATGTTCTCCTTACTACAGCAACGGCTCCTGAAATCCTGGAAGGATGTGGAACAGTGTAGAAGTTCATTCTCTCTGTCAGCGAGAAAATGCAAAAACTAAAAAAACACAACCCAAATTCAGATGGGTTTTCAGACTAACTTTGTGACCAGCATCTTGGGATACATTCTGCCACCCTGGACCTCAAAACCCAAAATTATCAACTATACTCACTGTAACTTCAGGAACAATATATGTCTAGATACTGATGAAAGTAATAAAAGCCTTTTAAGCAATTTCACCTTGAGGAGAACATGGTACCTGCTCGACGGCTACCTTCTGTTCTAACAGAAGCCTTGCAAGCACACTGCTTGAACCACAGACCTTCTAGTTAAATCCAAAGATGGTGTTTAGGTATTTACTAATTATATTAACCCTACATAACAATATCTGACCTTACAGTTCAATATAAACACAAAACTGACCTGGCTCTTCTGCAGGATTCTTTCTATTACCAGCAGTGCTGGAATATCCGATTAGCCGAACAGATAAGTATAATAATACCTAAATGCAGGTTTAGTGTTTGGTGTTGTTTTTTCCAACTGCCTCATCTCTCCAAACATAACCTACATAAAAACGATTTTATTATAAATTGATTGAGCAGCAGAGCAGTTAAGACATTATTTATTAGTTTTAATTCACTTTAAATCCATGATTCGGGACTGCCTGAATTCAGGAAAAAAAAAAAAAAAAGACCAAGCACGTGTGCCTGTTTGTATGTGGAATGGAAACGCCAAGTATTACTTTCTTTCTTTTTTTTTTTTTTTTTTTTTTTTTTTAAGTAATGCAAGATGATGACATGGCATATGAGTTATTTGATGCCTCGGATAGTACTTTTGTTCACTTTTATTTCAAAAAGAGAGAGATTTATGGCTCTGAGAAAGACCAGGGCGCTACCAGAGGCTGCAAAAGTCTCCCCAACAGGTAGTTAAACCACAACCGGAATAGCTCACTCTTCCTGGCAGCCTGCTATGAAAACTTGCAGCACCCAAACCCGGCTACACGGCAGCGCCTGTTACTCCCTGCGCTGACCCCGGCTGCTCCAACTCCGGGAGCAGGGGCACCCCACGCCGTCGCGGTCGCCCTTTCCCTATGCAACGGGGCGGCGTGACTGCCGTCCCCGGGCACCCCAGCGGCTGGGGCAGCCTTCCTGCTGGAGCGGAACTGGGGGAAGAAGGGGCCAAACTTCTACGGGAGTTCCAAAGGAGCGAGACACACGCTTTCCACCTGAAGGCCCTGCTGCTCAGGGGCCAGGATGAGGTTGAGGGGAGTGGGGGGCCAGGAACGAGACACGCCCGCGGGAGGGGGGGGGCGGCTACTCACTGATTGGTGGGGGGAGCGTTGAGCGGGATGGCCACCTCCTCCTCTTCGTACTCCGGCCCGTCCAGAGAGTCGCCTTCGTCCACAGTCCCCAGCCCCCCAGCTAAGGATGGCGGCGGTAGCGGCGGCGGCAACAGGGGGAAAGTGGCGGTGCCGGGATCGGCCACCCGGGCCGCCTCCAGTGCCTGCCCCGGGCCACCCGTCGGAGCGGCAGGCCCGGTGCCCAGGTCCAGGATCCCCAGCACCGAGCACAAAGCCGGGCCACCGGGGGGCCCGGCTCCCGGGCTGCCGCCGCCGCCGCCGCCGCCGCCGCCGCCACCACCACCACCACCACCACCACCGGGGCCGGGAGGGAAGGGGCCCTGGGGCCCCGGCCCCTTGCCCCGGCACACGGCGGGGTAATGTCCCGGTTCCGCGGCAGCTCCCGCCGTCCCGGCTGAGATAACCGAGCCGCCCTCCTCACTCCCGGCCTCAGCCGCCATCATGTTGAGCCTCGCCCCCCCTCCGACAGCCCTCCACCAGCCGCCGCACGCCGGAGAGGTGGCGACAAAGGGGCCCCGGCTCCCACCCCCCGCCCCGCCCTGGCGGGGAGCGGAGCCGGGACGAGGGCAAAACTTCTCCGGAGGAGACGGGCCACGAACAATACCCGGTTGGGTGGGGGTGCGGCAGCTCCGCAGGGCCCCGGCGCGGTGCCGGGGAGCGGCTCCCGCGGACCCGCTCTCCCTCCCCGCAGTCCGGCCCCGGAGCCAGCGAGCGCGCACCACCACACCACGCTTGCGCACCGCGAACCCCGGCACGCCTGCGCGGGAGAGCGGGCGAGGGTTCTGTTCGCGCAGGAATCGGCCCAGGCGAAGGCCTCTGCCCGGCTCTGGCTCAACAGCAGCAAGGGACGTGGAGCTGTCGGAATAAGTCCAGAGGAGGCCAGAGTTGCTGAGAGGTCTGGAGCAGCTCTGCTCTGGAGACACGCTGAGAGAGCTGGCTGGTTCAGCCTAAGGAAGGGAAGGCTCCAGGAGACCTTAGAGCAGCTGCCAGTGCCTAAAGGGCTACAAGAAAGCTGGGGAGCGGCTTTGGACAAGGGCCTGTAGGGACAGGACAAGGGGGAATGGCTTTAACGTGACAGAGGGGAGACTGAGATGAGCTCTTAGGCAGAAGTTCTTCCCTGTGAGGGTGGTGAGGCGCTGGCACATGGTGCCCAGAGAAGTTGCGGCTGCCCCATCCCTGGCAGTGCTCAAGGCCAGGGTGGGCGGGGTTTGGACCAGCCTCTTTTATTGGAAGGTGTCCGTGCCCGTGGCCGGAGCTTGAAACTGAGTGAGCTTCCAACCCAAAGCAGCCTGGGATTAAAGAGGACCCCTCCTTTTGCTTTTTATTGCAAATACATGGTATTCTGTCAGTAAGACTAAAAAAAGTATCCTAGCATCTACACCATGCTTCTTTCCTTGTAAGAGTTGGGACTCCATTGCTGCTTAAACCCGCATTCTTCACACTCCCTATCTTCATTAATAATTGTGCTACCTTAAGTGGGTTTACTTGGCACATCAGATTCACCTCACCCATAGCTACCTCTGTGTTCAAGAAAACATCATCGTGTGACGTTACCAGGCAATAGAACATGTAGGTATCTTCGGATTTATTTATTTTATTCACCTCCCACCCCCCACTCTTAAAAGAGCTGAGAAATAGCGGCACGTTGACACTTGCATGTCTCGAATGTTCTCAGAAGGCATCTAAACATTCAGGTTTTCAAAGCTTTGCTTTACCCAAAAGTATTAAATGAATTTTTCCTGAGGCCACTAAAACAAACTACTGCTCCCACTTTCACAGCTCCCCAGCCAACCTCTTTTTATCTGCTGAAATTAAGTTTTCATATCTTGCCTTCTAAAGGCAAACTCTGCTTCCAGTTACCACTAAGATCTGTGGAATTATGCTGGGTTTGTACCCAGTGTGAGTGAAAGAAGAGGCTGGCTCCACCAGCCCTTTTTTTCACAGCACTTTAACGTGTTCATCCGCAGCTGTTTGTCTGTTTAAGATTTTGCAGTTTCAACAGTGATCTCTTACAACTGATTTTGCATTACCACTTTCCATTATTATAAATGTAATGTCAAACAGTGCTCTATCCTGCTGCTTCTGCGGGTTTCTGTTTGCCACTGTTTGCTTTCCCTCACAGATGTTTAAACAAAATTATTTTAATGCAGCCTTGTAGCTGTTTTGGTAGTGATATGCCTAAATATAGAAATGTAGTGTAAATATGCATAAGATTCCCTTAACAAGGTTGGCTTTTCGAAGTGCCTTCCAAGGAAGTAGCACATGTATGGGCGCACAATGTGTATGAAGGCTAAAAGGACAGCTATGCTAAGGATTTCAGAGAATCACAGAATCAGCTGGTTTGGAAAAGACCTTTAAGATCATCAACCTTTCCCCCAGCACTGCCAAGGCCACCATTAAACCATGTCACTGAGGGCCTCATCTATACAGTTTGTGAACACTTCTAGGGACAATGAGTCCACCACTGCCCTGGGCAGCCTGTTCCAATGCCTGACCACCCTCACTGTGAAAAAGCTTTTCCTAATCTAAACCTTCCCTAGTGCAGCTTGAGGCTATTACCTCTTGAATGGGGCAGTGTGGCTGCGGCAGTCCTTCAGGAAGTTTATTTTGGGGAATGCACTTTTAAATTCGCTAAGGATTCCGCAGAAAGAGGGCTTCTAGTGAGATCAGATAACTTCTTGTATCTCTGTGCCTGACACATTTCTGTTCACTTTGCAGACAAATTGCCTGTGTTGCTCTGCGCTGCAGGTAACACAAATCACCCTCCATTTTCTCCTCCTTAAATTGACTCCAGTTACCCAGGCCTTCATGGGACTTTATTTGCATGAATATATTTGGGTGAAGGAGCAAATGTATTTTTCTTGGTACTTCTCACCTTTTTCTGAAATCCCCAGTGCAAATGATGCTAGGGTAGTTAGTCTTTCATCCCCGCAGTATGCATGGCATCAGGCTAGATTCTCTAGAAAGCCTATTTGTATGTTCCACAGAGTCAGTTTGCAGGATAGTGAATCTGGGATTATACATGATTTCTTCTCTGCAAGCCATTAGGTGTGATGTCCCTTACACTTGGACTACAATTAAATTGTCGGAGTACTAGTAGATTACAATTTGTCTGACCTAATTTAAAGACTGATCTGTAGAAAGGCCAAAACTGAGTCTGACAGGTAGAAGTACATTGTTGCATGTAGGTTGCTGCTGCCATTAAAACTACCTGCTCATTTGTTGATTTATGGTAAATAAAATCCTTATCTCAGGATTCTGGCCATGGAAGACTTACAGCCTGTGCTGTTCATGTAAATAAAACTGAGTGGTCCCAGGCAATTGAATAATGGTTGTTGGCAAGAGTCCAGGGTGTAGTAACCTTTTCTGCTCTTCCTGTGAGCATATCAGAGGCTGACAGTCAGTGTACCAGCTGGATTAAGACCCCCTGCATACTCACAGGGAAACTTCATCCACTAGCGTGGAGTACGTGCAGCCATAATTGCCATTATTTTATTGATAGTGACAGCTGTCCTTCACACATCTAAGAGTTTGGGGTCCAAAACTAATTCTTCCAGTGTAGTTGCAGGTGAATTTCAGTGGCATTGAGGCCTTTGAACAACATTCATATATCAGAGACCCTTTTCTATGCAGGATACATGTGCCATACCACTCATAACACTGTTGGGACTGGTCTAATTGTATGTACTGTAATGATAGCAGTGGTGAAATGTTCCATACAGTGATTAAGAACTTGAGTTTTCAGGCTGGGTTTTCACTGATTTGCATGGCCTTGGGCAAGTCATTTGAACAAGGTTGCACTTTCTCCATCAGTAAAGTAAGGAGCTATTTCACAGATGTGTCAGAGGATTAATTGGGTGTTTTACCACATTTGGAAGCTGTTAAACATAATGCTTATTAGAATGAAAAGCCACGTGAAGTGAATGATGCAGTATTTCAGTCATTTGCAGAGAAAGCATTAGTTGGACCATGGATACAAACACAGTTGTACCCTTCACTTTCACTCCTTATTTCAGCACAATACTTCTCCTCTCCTCCTTTTCTACTTTCCTCCTCTCCTCTCTGTGCAGTTTATTTCCACTTTTCCAGAGTGTTCTCCTATGTCAGAAATAAATGGCAGCAGGGAAATTGTCAGTCTTTCTGTTGCAGGGTGCATTGGTAAAGACAGAAACCTTCCTGTAATGAAGAATCTGGAACGCTTGAACTATCCAGTTCTTCCTCTTGTACTCCTCAGCTATATAAGGCACAGGTACAGACTCAGTGCTAATTCTTCCTACCTGCATGGCTGTTAAAACCTGACAGAGGCCTCATGTATTGCTGAAAAGGTGAAAATATGGGCAGAGTCTGGGCAAGAACTTGAATGCTAATAATTTTATTTCCTGTAACTTAAATTCTTTGCTTTTGTCTCATTTATTTTTGTTGGATAAAGCTGACTGTGCTTCTAGGTTGATTATCATAAGGTAATCATTGAGCAGTCATCACCACTGTCTGTATTTAATTTTGGGTCTGTGCTGTCAATTCTTCCATGTTCATGGTACAAATTAGAAGCCTTTGTTTGCACTGAATATTTTGTTTGCATTGAATCTCTGAGTAGATCATTAATGATAAGCTATTTTTAGCATATTTCCCTTCATTTTAGATCAGTGGTTTTCAAATGTTATTTTAGTTTAATGATTTCCTGATTACTGTTGATTTTCAAGAACATCTTTGTCACCTAAGAAACAAACTCTCTAAGATTCCAAATTCTTCCATAACCTGTTGTCCCTGCTCATTTTGTGTAGTTTGCTATCCTTTCAAATAAATGTTTAAGCTGGAGATGAATAAAGCCCCCATAAAAGACTATAGTCTCCATCCGCACAGAATTTGTATCCCATCTTTAAGAGTCAGTATATATATGTGACTTTAAAATTAATTAAGAAATTACTGTTGGATCAGTATGCCTTTTTTTTTTTTTCTCTTAAGCAGATGCAAAAATATTTGTGAACAATTACCTTGAGGTAATAATTTTAATAGTAAGAGGTACTGTTCTTTTCATATATTTTCTGCTTTCCAAAATGGCTAAAAAGCTTTTGTGTAGTTGCCTATAATTGTTCACTTCCTCTTTTCAATTTTAGAACAGCACCATCGCATAGAGGCATAGGTTTTTTGTTTGCTTTACTTCAGGCTGCATCTGGAAAAGAAGTCTTTAGTTCTTCCCCTCATTTTGTGTATTGAATGGGTGTAAGTAGACATGGTATTTCAGTCCCTTTTCATGAGCCCTCAGTGCACACAGCAAATCTTCCTTTCAGAAACAAATTGATGTGACACTTTGATACTCAGCCTCTCCACAACATGTCTTTGAATCTGAAGCATTATGTAGTTAGAACATTGAGGATCAAAATCTTTTCTCCCTGGCAAATCTTGTTCCTTGCTGACAGCAGTCTGGGCATACTTCAACCCAGTCATTCTAGTTGTGAACTTTGATGGAAATACTTTAACTACTTTTACTATTTGTACATCCTGACAGATTTGCTCAGAAACTGTTGCATTAGTTTTCTCGAGAATTAGAAAGCATACAGTTTCTATGCCATACCATTTAAATGCTGTGCAGAGCTTACTAGTTTAACCAAAGGGTGATTGTCTTTCTGTTGACTTTTAAAAAAACCCGTTTATTTGTTTTGAGTGTAGGACACTGATGCAAATACAGATTTTTACTATAATTATTACCACAGTACCAATGAATTTTCAGAAAACCCG